GCGGAGAAGTGAATCCAAAGCGACGGGAAGATAGACCGCGGGGGGATTCACTTCTCCGCCAGTCCTACCTTTCAGAAAGTGGTTGATTTTCTGTTTCTAGAGTTGCTGTTCTTCTTCTCTTCGATCTCCCGTTGGATTTGTAGGTGTTTGCAATCTTTAGATAAGCTAGCTAGCTGATCTCCCGCTACCTGAAGTAGTCTCAGCTGCTACTTCTCCGCCATCTTGACTCCTCCCCTGAAAGTGAATTTTTTACGAAAAACTTCCCCAAAAGAGAAAACCCCAGGAACAGATAGTTTTACTGGTGAGTAACATTCAAGGAAGAAATAACACCAAACTTCCATAAACATTTTCAGAAAACAGAGGAGAGATCACTAACCAACAATTTTTAGGAGGTGAGTATAACAATAATACCAAAGCTTGACTGAAAGTTTTCTTAAAGAGTGATAATTACAGATACCTCTCATGAAATAGTTGAAGAAATTAGCAACAAAATAAGAAATCAAATCCAGAAATATATGGAGAGTAATACATTATGACTAAGTTGGGATTTATTCTAAAAATTCAAGGTTGACTTAAAACTTGAAATCAATCATGGTGGGGCACCTGGGTGGCTCAGTGGGTTAATGCCTCTGCCTTCAGCTCAGGTCATGATCCCAGGGTCCTGGGATCGAGCCCCGCATCGGGCTCTCTGCTCAGCGGGGAGCCTGCTTCCCCCTCTCTCTGCCTGCCTCTCTGCCTACTTGTGATCTCTGTCTGTCAAATAAATAAATAAAATCTTAAAAAAAAAAAAAGAAATCAATCATGGCTTCTTGGCATTTTGGCTAAGATCAAATGTAAAACTTGAAATCAATCAATGTAATTCACAATATAAAATGAAAATGGAAAGAAAAAAAATCTGCAGAGATAGCATTGTTTAAAACCAATACTCTTCATGATCAATAAAAAATTAAAAATAGTAAGGAATTTCTCAAACCAATAAAGGTCATCTATGAAACACCTATATATGATGTTATACTTAACGGTGAACAAGGAATTGCTTTTCCTGAGATCAAGGACAAGGCAATGATTCCCACTCCTATTCAACATCAATATTGAATTTTTTAAAAGGGAAGAAATATAAGGCATAAATATCAGAAAAGGAAGAAGTAAAATTGTTCCTATTTCAGGTATTTAACTACTTTCATAAAATATCTTAAGGAACCTATAGAACTATTGGAAATAAAAAATTCAGTAAGTTGCACAACGTATATACTCACTAATATAAAATGATTTATAATATGGGTACACCTGGATGGCACAGTCAGGTAAGCATCTGAGTCTTGATTTCGGCTCAGGTCATGATCTCAGGGTTGTGAGATCGAGCCTTGACTTGTGCTCCATGCTCAGCATTGAGTAGGCTTAAGAGTCTCTCCCTTTCCCCCTGCTCTCCAACCCATGCTTGCTCAATCTCTCTCTCTGTCTCTCTCAAATAAGTAAATAAATCTTTAAAAAAATATCCTTATATAAATTCAAAATTACATGATACTAGGAAATAAGCATCTTTACAATTCTATTTATGGTAATACCAGAACAAATCTAACAAAAGGTATTTATGACCGCTGCACTGAAATTGCAAAACATGACTGACAGAAATCAAAGAAGATCTAAATTAAAAAGATGGGTCATGTTCATGGATTGGAACTGGCTATTCTCCCCAAGTTGGTCTATAGATTCCCTGCACTCTCTAACAAAACTCTAGCAGTTTTTTTTTTTTCTCCTTCTCTCTCTCTTTTTGTAAAAATTGGCAAGCTAATTACTAAAATTTATTTTAAAAATGCAGAGGATGTAGGAAATCCAAAATAATGTAAGAAACAAAACCTGGAGGATTTCTTCTACTGATTTCAAGACTTACTATTAACCTACAGTTTGAAATTGGTAAAAATAAAGACATATAGATCAAAGGAATAGAATAGAGAGTCTAGAAATAGATCCATATGTATATAGTCAATGATGTTTTGATGAAATTGCCAAACCAAGTTGATGGGGAAAGGATAATCTTTTCAACAAAAGATGCTGGATCAACCTAATATCTGTGTGGGAAAAAGCGAACATCAACTCATAACTCATATCATACACAGAATTAACTAAAAGTTGATCATAGCGCTAATGTTGAACCTAAAAAAATATGAAACTTTCACAAAAACAAACAGACATAACATAGATGATCTTAAAGGTGGGCAAAGGTTTATAGGTAGCATACAAAAAACTAAACACAAAAGAAAGAAATGATAGATTTCATCAAAATTAAATACATTTGCTCTCCAAAAGATACCTTTAAGAAAATTAAAAAACTAATTACAGACATAAATTATTTGAAATGTCATATATTTAACAAAGAATTATTTCTAAAATATGTAAAGAATACTTACAAAATTAATAAGACAATTAAACCAATAAAAATGAGAAAAATATTTGAGTAGACACTTCATAAAAGAAGATACGTAAGTACACAAAGAAGTACATAAAAAGATGCTCAAGTTCATTAGTCATCAAGGAAATGACCAAAGAAATATCACTATACATCCACTAAACTGACTAAATTAAAAGCCATAACCATATTAAGTGGTTAGTGAGGATGTGGAGCAACTAGCCTCTTACCGTGATAATGGGAAAGTAAAATGGTACAACTAGCTTGGAAATCCACTTGGGAATTTCTTGAAAAGATAAACAGATACCACTTACCATAAAACTCACCTTCTATACTCCTAGATATTTCCCCAAAAGAAATGAAAACATGTGTCCCAACAAAAACTTGTACATGAATGTTCATAGCCACTTTATTTGTGAAAGTCCCAACTGGAAACAATCCAAATGTCAATCAACAGGTGAACAGATGAACGAATTATGGTATACCTATCCAGGAACACCCTATTCCCAAATAAAAGGGAACAAACTACTGATATGTGTGACAAGAAGGCTGCGTATGAAAATCATGCACTTAATCAAAGACAGCACGCCAGAAAATAAAAATAAGAAGTGTACCTGTTGTGTGATCATATTTATGCAGAACTGTAGAACACACACACTAATCTACACTGACCGGAAGCCAGCCAATGGCTGCTTGGCAAGAAATGGTTGTCTAGGGAAACAGTAAAGTTTTGGAGGTGATAGAACATGTATGATCATGTCTTCATCATGATGGTCTTGTGGGTGTATACATATGCCGCCATTTATCAAAATGTGCACTGTAAGTTACTGTGAGTTATTGTGTATCTTTATACTTCAATTAAGTTGCAGAAATCATAAGGTGAACATTAGAGAAGTCTAGGGATAGTTCGAAGTGTTGATACTTTGCCTTATTTCTTCTAGAGTTTTAAACATATAAAACCTTATATTATATGTAAACTTTATACAGATGAAGTTGAAATCTCTTTTCAGCTCATCTCCAATTTAGTTTTCCAACTAAGTTGTTTATATTTTCCTGCATATATATGTAAAAAAAATATGTGTGGTTTCCATGCTTAACATTTACACGAAAGTATCATACTCTCTCTACGCATCTTCACCGACTACACTGGCAGGAGTTACGAAGCTGCTAAATGTTGGCAAGAGTGGGGAGATACAGGAACGTCTGCTGCGCTGCTTCTGGGAGCATAGACTGCTACTCGGTCAAATTAAGTCTGTACATGCACTTAAGGCCAATCAGTTCTGCTCTGGGTACACTGCCCTAAGAAATCATCAAGTTCGGGAAGAGATATATACAAGAAAGTTGACTGCTGCATTATTTGTGGCAACAAGGCCTTGAAAGCAATCTGAGCGTTCATCACTGAAAAAGAGGCTAGGTAAAAAAATGGTGGCAAGATGCTAGGAAGTACTCTACAGTCGTCAGCAGCAACACATGAGCGGAACTTCCAGTAACTCAGATCTTGTAGTTGACGCACTCAGCTTTCCCTCCCACACAGTCGCCTCTCTGTTGTGAGAAGCTGACCTATATGGTCAACAGTAGTGAACTCCAATACTTTCTAGTTCCCAGTATTGTTGCACTGTTTGGGGGCTTTAGAACAAGAATGGAAGGAGAATATTTTTATTTAGGAAGGAGAGAGGAGAGTGAAAAGACGGTATTTGTTCCTCTGGCTCCTCTCGGCCAGGTCTCCATGGTGGCTTATTCCTCTTCTTAAGGCAACTTTTTCTACATGACTTCCAGGTTCAAGTACACATTCCCTCCCGTCAGTCACCCTTTGGGACTGCGAGTGTTAAAAGCTCAGCTGCCACTAGCTGTAGTCACTGTGTTGCCACTTGGTGGGCCCTCTCTCCACATCTTTGTCATCTTTGCCAGTAAGTCTTCCTTGGATTGTGCTGAATTTGAGTATACAGAAGAATTTGGCAATAACTAGTGAAACTAAAGATGGGCATTTTCTGATGCCCCACTTCTGGTTATATACCTACAAAACTGTCACTCATACACGTACCAGAAGAGATACACAATAATATATCTATTATATATAATGTAATATATATATTTGTATTGTTTATGTATATATAACATAATGTAATATAAACATTATATATGTTACATATATATGTTTGTGCATATATACATATATTGTATATATGTTTGTATTCTGAAAACATCCGAAATGCAGGGGTTATTTTGCTCAATTTGTTTTTCCAAGGGATTCAGAACCATTGGGAAAGATATTACAAATTAATATCTTCAATTCAATAGCCCTAGACCATTGGCCCAGAACATTCCATTTGTTTTTGGTAATAGAGAAAATCCATAGTTTCTAAAGTTTGAGTAAGAGTTATTTTTGGAAGAGAACAAAATCTCATGCCCTTGTCCTTTCAGAACACCTTAGGTAAAATTGCACATCTACTGAGCCGTACAATTCTCCCATACGTAAACTGCAGAGCACACTTTACTGTGATTGGTCACATTATAATGCAGCTGTGCTTCATGCAAAATAGAAATAAATGAATGTAAAATGAAGCCATTTGCTTAAAATAACACAGTTCTTGATTTTAATTGTCTAAGTTAATGAAAACAAATTGATATCAATGCAGATGTTATGACTTAGATATCATGACTTACAACATATGTCAATTATTTTACACACACAAAAAAATTGTTCAGTATTTTCCTGATCTTCTGAGTGGAACATAATTTGGTCAATCATCCTTTCATGTGAAGTGTCCACCTTCATGAGCTCGGGATGGTAGAGCGAGCAATACATAATCCTCAGAATTACTATGGTCAGCTAGTGCTGGCTGTCTGTGGTAGGCCAGAGGGTGAGAATGTTTCTTTAACTTCTGGTTTGATCCATTTTTCCTCCTTCCTAGTGTGGTCTCTAAGAATTCAGCTGCAGAGAAAAACATGAACAATGAACTACCAATTCTTCCATCTTGGTCACCTAGGGCTTTGGAGACCCAGTTATCTCTCTTTAGGTCATCTGTCACATGGGAATGGAGAAAAGGAATCCAGCTTCACTACACTCTGAATAAATTTCTGCCATTCTGAGCTAGGCACATTTTCCAACATATCTTGTTCTATTTTTGGAAAGAAATTGCTAATATCTACACAAATAAAACAGATGTTGAATATAAAAGATTTGTGGTGTTTTTTTTTCCAGTTTGAGTGAAAATAGTTGTATTTATTTATCAAGTATCTATGTTCAATTACCCAAAAGGACAAACATTAAAATTTAAAAAGCAGTGTGCTCAACTGTAGCAATATCTAAAGCCTGTTTGGTTTGTGTTACATTCTTATAAAGAAAATAATCATTAGTACCAAAATTAGCTAAGGTAAGAAAAATATTTCTCTGTACCATCTTCTAGGCAATAAAAAGAAATTGCAAAACCTCTTGCAGTTGAGCTGTGAAGGCTTTAGTCAGGTAGCCCTTCCGTAGAGTTAATACTCCCCCCATTTTTTAACCTGTGTGCCCTTAAGGGAGCAGTTCACTATTCTGAATCTCAGTCTCTTCACCTATAAAATAGGAATAATTGTTTTTTTCACAGAGTTGTGAAAGGAGAAATCACTGGTATGGTGGAAACTACCATCATTCTCTCTACATAAGAGAACACATAACCACACGAGGTCAGGTAGTTGGCCCACAACTACATTGCTGGCAAGTGAAGAACCAGGGCTTTGAGCTCTGGCCTTCTGGCTGGAGCTTGCACTCATACCATGGCGCTTAGTGACTCTCAAATGCTTCTTCACTATTTGCAGAGAGAAAATGGAAAATGTTTTAGTGTCTGCCTTGTCTGAATCCATTCGATCATGCATTCACTCACTCATTGGTGGACCATTCATTCAATGTCTATTATGTGTCAAACCCTGTGAAAGATACTGAGGGAGAATTTGTGGAGGAAAACTAAGATATCCCTTGGTCTCTCTTCTTAATAAAGGCATTGTTTAATTGGGAAATAGACCAATAAATCATTTATTATAATGCGGCATGATAAATGCAAATGAGACTTGTAAGCACAAAGTACTATGGACATATACAAGAGAAATACCTAAATCTGTTAAGGAAGTGGGGATTGGGGTCAAGGAAGGAGGAAATTTAGACAATGCCATGCTGAAGGGTGATTTTAAATGATGGCTACAGAAGACAATGGGGAAGTGTTTCCAGGTAGAAGAAACAACTTGGGAAAAATCTCTGTTATGAGAAAGAGCAAAATGTGTGAGGTGGAAAGTAGTACATGAAGGAGTGTGACAATTCAAAAGAATCATGAAGAGCTGGAGGGGAGAGTGATGGAGATGAGATGCGTCCAGTGTGAAACAAGAAGTCAGGTTCAGAGAAATCTTGTGAACTAAGGAGTTCATACTACATCTTGGCACTCTTGCTAGGGGTGTCATTTTCAGATTTTATTCTAGAGACATAGATCTGGCAGTCTTGGATACAATCACCCTCTCCTGGAAAGGGAGAGATGCACGAGAACAATTCAAGGCTTTGTCGTGCACATCTACTGTTTTTGCCCATTCGGCTTCCATCCCCCCATCTTTTAGGAACAGGCCTCACTTCCTGTGTGGAATCCATCTCATATGGTTTAACTTGGATTGATCCCACACCTGCTGCCACAGCCAAGGGCTAGGCAAACAATTCAAGCTAATTAAAGTACCCCATCCCCTTGTTCTTTGTGACAGGATCCTGGATATTCATGTCACCCAGGGCTGGCTAACCCAAACTTATTCCAGTTTTACTGAACAAATTATAACCCTTTGTACAGAAATAATAATACTGCACTTATGTGTAATTCTGAAGCTCAAAGTTAAGTCAAGTGGTCCAAATTCACATATGTTCCTTCTCAGTAGTGGACATCTATGATTCCAAAGCATACTTTTCTGTAATTCCAAATATTACCCTACTGTGTTTAAAACCTTTTAGGTTGCATCTTAAAGAAACTTAGTCTAAGTACAAAACAGGGAATTTGTTGGCATATATATAGAAAGCCAGTGGCATACAGTCTTCCAGCGTGGCCAATCCCAGAGGCTTAAAACTATTTCATCATGGCACCCTCAATAGGCTATCCACCACGTGACAGATGATACAACCTCATTCTTTAGGCTAATCAACCCCCAAAAGACCATCTTTCCCGGTAACTGGCAGAAATGAACTGGTCTGAAAATTAGTGTATGGTTTTACCTAAGTATATACCTACTGGCTGAATTCCAGCAGTTCAAATCATGAGACAGTGACATCTGGTAGTGACATACCCAAATTGCAGTTTCAATTAATTTGGAAAAACATAAACCTGTTACAATTTGCAGGAAGTATGGCTTGGAGTTTCTCTGTTGTGATATCACAGAACTCTTAAGTTTTCAAGGTATGTGAGGTTTTAGTTACTGAAATCAGAAGGAAAATAACTTGAAAATGATAGTTCCATAATCAATCTGGTCCTTAAGATCTGGCTACAAAAATTCTAAAAGATAAAGGAGTGCCTCAGGTCACTCTTCTACCAAGAGAATAGAAACACTCTGAAAATATTGGAAATTTTTATTGAAATGTGTTTCATACTCTCAATAGTATGAGCCTGCTTCAACGGTAAATGCAATTTTTAGAAATAATACAAATGAAATAATGTAGCTTCCTTACTCCCTCCCACAAGAACAACAAAAAGGAAAGAAGCCACACACAAAAACTTCATGGGTCTTTACGTTATTTGAGGTTGTGGATTAAAATAAATTAAATCGTTTTGTTTTCTACCATGAAATCCCACCAGACAAATCTTGCCTGTTGAGTCCTAGTATCTAATGGGCTAAATCTGTAGGAAATATTTTTCGACTTTTTTTTCCTTCTTCATGACCACAACATTTTTCAAGTGATCCCAGGAGCTGATTTTCAGACTATGAAAAAATGTTATAATGTCCAACTGGAAGAAAGAAAAATTACTTAATTTCAAATCTGTTTTACAAATGAGTCCAGATATTCACTTACTAAATACATAAAAACAGGCATATATTGATAACGTATCTTAATAATACCATTAATTATAAACCATTTCAAAAACTATGAGATAAAGAGCAACCACATTTAAAAGGTGTAAGATTTAAAGGGCAAAATTTGCATTAAAATGCTTATTTTCCAGGACAAAATGTCTCGACTTTAAAAAAATCTGATATATGTAAATAGTTCAAATAAAAAAAAACTCATGGTACAGGAACAGAGTAAGTTTTAATAATGAGGCTTACTTTTATTTGGGGCGGCTTTTTACTTAAGTCTTCTGCTTAAGAAGTATTTCATAGAATACCAACTTTCCATACCCTAACGACTTTAGCTCCTCACATTAGTGACATTTTTACCATTTAGTATGATTTGCATTTCCCCATATTTATACCTTTCCCTAAAAGTAATTTGTTTTCATGTGCTATCAACACACTGCTTTCTAGAACGATTCTGCATTTCTACTAACACGAACATTTCTCTGATGTACTAGGTATGATATAATCATTATTTTCAGTGAAATTTATTTTGAGGTACAGAGATTCAAATAAAAACTGGTAATGGGTGTTGAGTCTTTTCTTCTGTAATGTGTCCATTCCTTATAGAAATCTCACAGTGAGGGGGATTACGACCTTCTACACTCTGAATTCCTTTCAAGATGCCTCACCTGCAGGAGAAAGATCTGGCAACACCAGCTTGTGAAAAAGGTCAAGAGGAAATTCTGAAACAGGCGCATTTATGAGTACTTGCTGTATATGTTACCACGATTACTAATGTTAAGTTTTCTCTTGACATAAGTGATAACCGCATTTCCTCAATGTATTTAACTCTAATTGCATGATTCTTTCAAATATGATCTGGCATTTAAAATTGTTTTAGAAGCACTACCGTCTACTAATTATTTAACTTACACTAAAAAAGAAAATTTCCACTCTGTGTCTAAGTTATTTCCAGCATTCTAAATGTGCTCATCAAAAGTGAGACACAGCTCTTAACTTTATAGAAGATATTCTTTCAGAAGAAAGACGAACTAACTTAAAGAGCAGAAAGACAAGCTTTGTAGACCAACATTTACATTGTCCTCATTCTGAGATATTTCCTTTGAATCAAGGTAGGGTTATGTAAAAATGACTCTATTTTAATTACTTTTGGGGACTAATGCATTATGAACATCCAAGACCAATATTTAGTAAATCTCCATGAAGAGGATGATAGTAAAAAATTCTAGAACCTTGCCGCACGGAATCAATCTTTTCTTTTCTCTTTTTTCCCCCTATCAAAATGAAAACAAATTCTAATTTTGATGGTAAACCCAGAGCAAAGAGGAATGGCAAAGATGGCGTCTGTGCCTCATGTCCGTCCTCTCGCCCTCATTGTTAGGGAGACTGCAGGTTCTACTTTGCTCACGACAGTCCTGGCTCATGCCCGCTGTCCCTGCATAATTAATAATCAATCTCCATTTCACTGTCCTTTGAGAGTGGTTTGGACATTAAATATGTGCCCCATTTGTAGTAGACACTGCAAACCAGTGTGGCTTCTGATACGGTGTTTCAGGCGGCTACCGCCAATCAATCACAGCTTAACACTAATTGAAAGAGAAATTAGGTGAATGGCATTCAAATAAGACTGAGAGTGCAGTATGAAAAAAAGGGAAATATTTGTCACGTTAATGTGTTGTCTTCCTTACTCCCTTCCCACTAAACCATAGTAGAAAGAGCAAAGTACTAGGTATCAGGAAGTTTTGTTTTTTGTCTTGATGATCTCTTGGCTTCAATTTCTTTATTTTTGAAATTAAAGTATTGAATTAGATGAGCTGTGGGATTCTTTCCAGCTCCCATTCTGTGACTGTGGTCCTGGTGTCTGACTGGTGAGTTAAGTGAAGGGGCTTTTTAATCTTAAAATTAACTTGTAAATTGTGCTGTAGTGGCAGTTAACCAAGGTGCAGTATTATTATTATTATAATCATCATTATTGGTGTGTGTGTAGAATATTCTTCAGAAAGAGTTTGTCCCATCTTTCAGCCTCTGCCCACCCCATTCACACAGGGAAAGAGGATCATACAGACACACTCCCTGGGCCCCAAACATTGATTACATTAAACATCCCCTCCCAAATTTAAGATATCCCCAACAGAATTGCCATTGACCTCCCAAATTTAACATATCCCAAACAGAATGACCACGTTGCTTCCTTAAAAGGCTTCCTCTTCCCAGCTCTCCCATCTCAGATAATGGCATCACCATCTACCTTGTTCCTCAAATACTGGTTGTGGTTCACAAGGGCACTGATAGGGTTTGTTCAATGTAGAGGTCTCTCCTCTTAAGGAGTCTCTCTGTCTCTCTTCCCTCCATCTGTGTCAACCCTTCCGCCCTTTTGGTTCCTTGTATGATTCTGGCTCATACTCCAATACCTTCACTCCTCTCCTTTCCTCTGACTGGAGCCTTCTTCCCTTCTCTAGATGACTTAGCCTTGTCCTTCAGGCCTCATCATACTTGCTCCTCCTCAAAGAAACCTAATTTCTTAAGGCACCTGGGTGACTCAGTCATTAAGTGTCTGCCTTCGGCTCAGGTAATGATCTCAGAGTCCTGGGATCGAGTCCCAGGACTGAAATTTGCTGCTGCAACTGGAGCCACTCCCATTGCTGGCCGCTTCACTCCTGGAACATTCACTAACCAGATCCAGGCAGCCTTCTGAGAGCCAAGACTTCTGGTGGTTACTGATCCCAGGGCTGACCACCAGCCTCTTACAGAGGCGTCTTATGTTAACCTGCCTACCATTGCTCTATGTAACACAGACTCTCCTCTGCGCTATGTGGGCATTGCCATCCCTTGCAACAACAAGGGAGCTCACTCACTGGGTTTGATGTGGTGGATGCTGGCCAGAGAAGTTCTGTGCATGCGTGGCACCATTTCCCGTGAACACCCGTGGGAGGTCATGCCTGATCTCTACTTCTACAGAGATCCTGAAGAGATTGAAAAGGAAGAGCAGGCTGCTGCTGAAAAGGCTGTGACCAAGGAAGAATTCCAGGGTGAATGACGGCTCCAGCTCCCGAGTTCACGGCTACTCAGCCTGAAGTTGCAGACTGGTCTGAAGGCGTGCAGGTGCCCTCTGTGCCTATTCAGCAGTTCCCTACTGAAGACTGGAGCGCCCAGCCGGCCACTGAAGACTGGTCTGCAGCTCCCACTGCTCAGGCCACTGAATGGGTAGGAACAACCACTGAGTGGTCTTAAGCTGCTCTTCCACAGAGGCAAACAAAATGGAAATAAGGTTGACGGAAAATAAACAGTTTGTAAAAGTCGAAAAAAAAAAAAAAAAGACTCCCTACTCAGTGGGGAGTCTTCTTCTCCCTCTCCCTCTGCCTGCAGCTCCCCCTGCTTGTGCTCACTCTCTTTCTGTCAGGTAAATAAATAAAATCTTAGAGAGAAAGAAAGAAAGAAAGAGAGAGAGAAAGAGAAAGAAAGAAAGAAAGAAAGAAAGAAAGAAAGAAAGAAAGAAAGAAAGGAAGAAAGAAAGAGAGAAACCCAATTCCTCACCCAAGATGGTCATCTCCTCCCACAGTGTCCCCTGCTGCATCATCCACTCACCCTTGCGTGAACTGTAGTTCACATGCCATGAACTGCTCACTGTTCGCTGAATCTACCAAACATTTCAGACGTTGTATTTCTCTAGCTCACTGCTTTATCTCAGTGCCCAACGTTTCTATAAAGGCAAACACCAGAGCCAAAACACACACGAATAAATGACTCCATGGATTTCTGAACATCATTTAACACTGAACTTCATCATGATAATGTCACGTATTAAACTTCTTCATTGCTCAAGCAAAAGAGGGAATTGCTGGGCCGAGCTGGACTTAAGGCCTAGAGCTCACAAGCCCTCACCAGGACAGCCTCACTAGCTCTCAGCTCCTTTCTTCTCCTTCCACTGCCCCACATTCCCACTCTCCCCAGGGCCTGCTGCATGCTCCAGCAAGCTCTCTCAACTGGCAGGGACTGGTGCTCCCTGCTCACTCAACCGGAAGTTCAGGCCCAGTCTTAAAGCTATGATTTCAGAAAGAGAGTGTTGCCTTGGTTTTCCTGTGACTGTATCAGTCTCACAAAAGAGGCCTGGAGCTGGGGGGAGCATCCCTGGGTGTGGTGCTGAATTTTGTATCAATTTAGCTGGGCTATGGTGTCTACCTGTTTGGTCAAACACTGGTTAAATTGTTGCCCTGACGGTATCCTGTAGATGTAACACCTAAAACTGTTTAATGTTAAGTAAAACAGATTGCCCTCCTGATGTGGGTAGGTCTTATTCAGTCAGTTGAAGGAATTCGAAGGGAAAACAGGTTTCCCAGAAAAGGAAGGAAGGAATTCTGCCTCCAGACATAGAAACCTTGTCTGAATTTCCATCCTGACATCCTGTCCTAAATTTCAGACTCAAGACTGTCACATCTGCTTCTGTCTGAATGTCCCTCCTGAAGACTTCAAACCTGCCAGTCTCCCCAGTCACATAAGTTAATTCCTTAAAACAAGTTTCTCTATTCCTGTATACCCCATGGATTCCATTTCTCTGGAGAATCCTGACTGGTACACTGGACTACTTCAGCACAGGCTGAATGAAGCCTCTGGTTCACAAACCTACCATAGTCACATTAAGAGAGGCAGGCAGACAAAACTGTGAGACACTCTTATGTATTCTCCAATATTAAAAACTTAAGCCTTTTATTTAGGTTATTAATATATCCTTCTTTTTTCCCCAGAGAAAAATATATTTTTCAGTATTCCTATCCTTCATTCAAATTCTTGAACACAAGTGACCGTTGTCCCTCACAGAGAAAGGTGGGGGGAATATCTGATTGTAACAACACTACTACCTGCTATATGACAACAAACCATAGTGTTTGGGGGAAAGTCACACTAATCTGATTCCAATTTTATCAAGATCTGGGCAAATGTTAGCTTTTCTTTAATGGAAAGGTAGAAGTCATAAAATATTTCAGCTTTTGGATGTTTAAATAACCAGAAAGAGTTCAATCTAAGAGCTTTACTCTAATAGCTGGGAAAAATGAGCACTAAGGTATATTATTATAGCAGAAATGTAGGAGTTGTGAAAATGATCAAATGATAAATATATGATCTTCTTTCTTGGATTATAGTTGTTAAAATGTCTTTGGAATTGAGGAACAAAACCTCAAAGGCAACATTCATAACGGCATCAAACTGATAAAAGGGATGCTTTATTTCCCTTTTGGGAGATTCAGAAGAAAATAATTTGGCCAAATATGAAACTATAGGATTATTCCTGTCTAAGAATATTGATCTGAAAACTCAAGCTAAACCAAACTATAGTGTACCTTTATTGTTAAGAATTACAGCATCTCTACCTAAAAATCTCATATCAATGATAAAATTGACTTAAGTATTCTGTATACATTTCCTTGTTTTGCTCTTCTTTTGATGTATTGTCAGAATAGCAAGCCATGAGTGTTTTAATAAGATAGGATAATGGTCTATCAGTTCATTGGGCTTAACTACAAAATGATAAATTAGAAGTAGACATGAAAGAGCATTTCATTTCTTAAAAATAGAAAAGTATATAATTTGGAAGATGTTATATGCTGAGTATATGATTAGAATTTCTACAATCACTCATCAAAAATAAACTACCTTATTTCAAGGATATTCAAAGGTATATAATCAGTCTTGCATTTTTTACAAAACATTAAAAGGTTTACAAACCACTCAAATTACTCACTGGAAATTCAAATTGATTGTTTCATACTAACAGTTATTTTCTTTGTGAATACAACACTATAATCACATGTATAGCCTTATTACACATTGATTGTGCATATGCAGAGGAAACACATAATAAATGTTTTAAATGCAATGAAAAAACCTCCCAAAATGGCAGAATCAATATGTATTACAATTGCAAAGCCCTAAATATTAAGGGTGCACTATGCAAAGCCGTACAGCAATGATCTTCTTGTCAAAACAAACAAAAACTAGTAAGAGTTTTGGCATTTTGATACGCATGTGCACTTCGACACACATGTCACATGAGATTAATGAAATATGTCTATGTATGTTTCTTTAACACTTCCGACAGAACCAATATGTCCAATAGGTGCTTGTCACCAAGCAGTCACCTTGGAAGGAACTCTTAAGTAGTTTAATGATCCTGTCATTATGCAAAATATTTTTGGGGTGTGCTCTTATAAAGACTTCAACATATTTCAAATATCCTCAGCGGAGGCATGCTTCACCCATCAGAAACGGATTTGAAGCAAACGTCATATGACTTGAAATCTAATGAATAAAAAGCGTGACAAGTGTTGGGTAAACCAATTTGTTGTAAAAATTATAGTGAAACCATAAAGCAATGAAACACCTCATTTTATATGACTCTGAATAAAATTCTGGAGCAGACACTCTAAGGACTTCCTGAGTGAAGGCAGCTTCCCAGGATCAGGATAGGATAAGTTGCTTCTGTTTTCTCTTTCTTTCCATCTCATTTTAATTGAAAAAGTATAAGTGAAAACCTAGTCTTTGGTGAAGAGTATTGAATTCAGCTGAAGAGTCTGGTCTATGTTTTCACCAACCTAACCTCTATCTATTCATTATTACAGGACAATAGGCACCTTAAAGAAAAATCACTGCCCACTCCTTAAAGACAATCAAGATTAAAAACCATTCATTGCAGGAAGCTCTGAATCTCCTTTACAACATCTCTGTCCCCACAGCCATACTGTCTATTCATGAACAGCTCTAGTGACAAGGAACTCATCATCTCTCAAACAGGACCCAAACTTTGGACAGATGTTACTGCTAGAAAGTTCTCCTTTAAACTGTACCAGTATTTGCCCCCTTCTGCCTCTGACTCTGTTTATCTCCTGGAGGTGATGTAGCATAAATTAAATCCCTCTTCTTCATGAAGTTCCTTTAAATATTAGAAAATAGATGTCATATCTCTCCTGGTCTTTTCTATGTCAGGTTAAGTTGTGTGTATTATGTATCTATGTGTTGTATATTCATTAATGTACTCATTCATTTGATTAAATATTACTGGGCTTCTAATATATATCAAGCCCACATTCTAATCATGAGAGATGCTAAAGCAAATTAGATAGATATGTAGTGCATATTTCAAGATTTCTAGGTGGGGAGAAAGAGGATGAGCCAACAGGATAATTTCAGTTCATGATAAGTCTTTTGAATAAAATAAACAAGGTAATATGGTAGAGAGTAACTGAGGGAAATAAAGCATTTGGGCATGAATACTCAGTAAAAGTGACATTTGAGCTAAACGTGACAGATGAGAAGGAGCCAGCATGCAAAAGTCACTGCAGGCAGAAAGAAAAGCAGACACGAAATCCTTGAGGCACCAAGGACTTGGCAGATTTGAGGGACAGCAAGGAAGGCAGTATGTTTGAACTCTGGGGAATGAGAAAGATGGCAATAGAAGATGAGTTTAGAGTGGTAGATTGGAAGATTAGGGATGAACTCATGTAAGACACTGTGGGATAGAAGATATTGAATCTTATTCTAAATCCAATGGGAAACTAATGAAGGATTAGAGTCAGAAAATTATGTAATCTGATATGTAAATATAAAAGATAACTCTGGCTGCTGGAGAATGGATTACAGGGGCCTGAGCAGAGGCAGAGAGTCCAGTAAGAAGTCTACTGCAATAGTCCAGGCAAGACAACATGGTGGCTTAGACAAGGGAGGTGGTACTGGAGATGAAGAGAAGTAGTATGTGCAGGATATATTTAGAAGAAAGAGTTATTTAGACTTGCTTATAGTTTGGATGTGAGGATTTGAGGGAAAGAAGAAATAATGTTGATTTCCAATTTCATATCTGAGTGACAAGTTAGACATTGGTCCCATTTACTGTGAGCATTTTGGAGGAAGAACTGGGAGAAGCAGAGAAACTGAGTTATATTTTGGGCATTTTAACTTTGGGGTATCAGACAGCTGAGTGGAGATATCACATAGGAGATTAAAGATATGTATCTGAAGGTCAAGAGGAGAGATGTGACTAAGGATGTCAATATGGGAGTCAATGTTATAGGGATAGTATTTAAAGCCATGGTATTGGTTATTATTACCTTAGGGAAGAAAATAGATGGGGACTAGGGGCTGAGGAAGGGCGCCCCATCATCTGGGGTTAAGCACAGGGAAAAGAAGAGGAAGAGAAACCAGGAAAGGAGTAAAGTGTAGGAAATACAGGAGAGAGACATATCAGAGAAGTTAAGAGAAGAATCTTAGAGAAAATGGTCAACTGTTTCAAACATTCTAACTATGTGGGGTAA